GTGGGGGCGCCGGGGCGCGAGCGCCAGCCCGGCGAGAGCCCGCGGTTCCTGGCGTGGCCTTTGGTGCGGTGCCGGGTGGCCACCGTAGGCCCAGGAAGGCTTGGGAGGCGGGTGCCCTGCGCCCGCCTGGGCTTGCCTCTCACCTGCGGGCCCTGCGCCTCCACACGCCTCCTCCTGCAGGTAGCCCTCCTGCCCTACCTGGCCCTCCGTGGCCAGGCCCCTGGCAGCCGTGAGGGTCTCTGAGCTCGGCCGGCCGCTTGACTCCTCCGCTGCTTGTCGGAGGAAGGGAGGGCTCTGTGTCCACTCAGCCTGTGGTTGCAGTGCGCCCGGGTGAGGATGGCCCCAAGCCTGGCGTGTCTGGGGCCCGGCCTTCCCCTGGGAGCGCCCCTTCAGGTCAGCCTGCAGCCCTGGCTCAAGGCCTGGCGGTCTGCCGGGCGGTGAGGCTTTAAAGCTGAGCCTCGCGCGCCCTGTCCCCGGAGCCCTGCGGGAGGTGGGAGCCCCGGGCTGCCGAAGTGGGGCCGCCCTGACTCTGGCCCCCGTGTAGCCCCGGTGCAGGGGAGGGCCTGGAGAGTCGACAGCGGGGAGGAGCCCCCCCTGCCCTGAGGTGAGCCCGAGGAGGGGCCAGCGGGCAGGGTGTTTTTTGGGGCGAGGCGGCTTGTAGCAAGTCGCATGGAAATTCCCGGAGAAGACAGGAATGAGCAGGTGGGCTCGGCCCATCAGAGCCACCCCCACCCAGGCCTTGGGGGCCACCTTGTCCGAGGGGTCTCTGAGGAATCGGGAGGCCCGAGGCCTGGCCAGGGGTTCCTTGCCCCAGTAGAGGAGGGAAGTTACTGAGAAAAACAAGGGTTTGGAATGCGAGGCCCCCCTTCCCCGCCGGCCGCCTGCCAGGACGGAATTATTTTGGATTATCCAGCCGTGTCCAGCCACGAGGGGGGTGTGAGGGGGAGGCTGCGGCCACGGGAGAGGGATCCACTTCCGGGCTGTAGGTTGAGCACCCAGAGGGAGGGACCGGCGAGTCTGGGCAGCTCCACCACCTCGCCCACCAGCTCTGAGGCGGCTCTGCGCGGGGGCGGGGTGGGAGGGATGCGTCACCTTTGGGTTGAGAAGGCCCCAGGCCGGTCCCAGCGGGCCTCGGAGAGCCATGGGACAGGAGGTGCTCTCTGCCAGCCGGGGGGCCCCCAGAAGCCCACACCGTGGCCCCAAGGGCCTCAGACCCCTCCAGGCCCAGTTCAGGGACATCCTCCGCAGCCCCTTGCCCCTGTTTGCTTGCCAGGGAGGAGCAGCCCGGGGTAGGAGCCGCCTGGGCAGGAACAGGCTGCTGGGGGCCTGGGAGCTTCCTCTCGGGTCTCCTCCCGCCACTGACTGGCTGACTGCGTCCTCCAAGCCCGGCGACAGCCCAGCCCTGCCACACCGCGCCCTCCCCGAGTGGCGCCTGCCAGCCCATCCCGCCGTGGGGAGACTGAGGCCA